GGCGAACCCAAGCAGCCTGCTCTGGGGCTCTCTCTGGGAAACCACCTCTCTGAATGAGACAGAGTCAGCCGCAAGTGACATGTGTGAACACAAGCGTGAGTGCGTGCAGGTCTGTGTACGTGCGCGTGTGCTCACGAACAAAGGAATAGCACCTGCAGAGTCCTGGGGGCAGGAAAGAGGCTGGCACGTTCCATGGATGGAAAGGAGGCCAGGGGTGCTGGAACACCGTGATCCACAGGGAGAGTAACAGAGGTGAGGCTGGAGAGCAGGCCACAGTAAGGAGACTGCCTTGACAGCTCAGGCAGGGGTGTGCGGGGACGGGACAACACCTGAAAGAGGTCATTCTGCTATGCAAAGGGCCGACTGCAGGAGGAACACTTAAAGGCATTCCTGCTTCCTAGTTAGTCTATATGGGAACCACAGGCAAAAGAGTTCACTACCAAAAATTAAATATTTACTTCCTTTTAAAAACACCATACAGAATTCAAAGGCAAAGGACATAAAAACTTATACTATTTTAATAATAAAAGATATTTTATAGTAAAAACTCTCTTGCAAGTTACTAATAAAAAAAGCAAATGTCCCTCTGGAGATATGGGCAAAGGACAGGAACAGAGAATTCACAGGAGAAATATTAATGGTTTGTAAATATATGACAAAGGTTCACTTGTCCATAAAACTGGATTAAGGTTTTTTAATTCCACTTTAATATTAAGAAGAGTGTGGGAAAAATATCTCTTGCATACTGCCAGTGGAATTTGTAAACTGGTTCAGATTTTTCACATAATACATGTTAAAAACCTTTCCTGAATTTATATTAAAGATCATTAAGAGCAGCCTCAAGAACAGGAGGATATGCATTGCCATATATGTTGTATGGTGACAGATGGTCATGAGCACTGAGTAATGTATAAACTTGTCAAATCACTCGGTTGTATACCTGAGACAAATATAACACTGTATGTCAATTATGCTTCAATAATAAGAAAAATTATGCCTCCATGACCGTGACCACTGATATGGAGAGAAGTTTACAGTGTATCAGGAAAAGCAAGTTGAAGGGCGCCTGGGTGGCTCAGTCAGTTGAGCTTCGGACTCTTGATTTTGGCTCAGGCCATGATCTCAGGGTCATTGGATCGAGCCCCGCCTCAGCATCTGCACTCAGCGTGGAGTCTGCTTAGGATTCTCTCTCCCCCTCTGCCCCTTCCCCTGTTCTCTCTCTCTTTCTCTCTCAAATAAATAAATTTTAAAAAAAAGAAAAGTTTCATTTTTATATTTAAAAATCTTATTTAGGCATATACATACAGTAAAGCCTCTGGAAGAACATCAACAGTGGGTATTTAATCGTGGTAGGATTATGCGTGTTAAATACATCTTTTTTGTCTACGTATCTTTAATTTTTCTACAGTCTATATACATTGCTTATGAGAGTAAGCGAAGTAATCAAAGAAAGTATCTAGATCGTAACATAGAAAGGCTAAACTGTCTAGTAGACGGGGTCACAGACAGGAGACTCAGTGTAGGCTGAAGATGAATCAGGAAACGGTGTGGTAGAAAGGGACTTCTAGAAGCATCTATGAAATCTAAAACCTCATTTCACAGATTAAGAAATCATCTACCCTCTCCCTACTTCATGTACCCATTGCCTGACGATAAGCACAGCCCCCGACAAGGTTTCTAGAACCAAAAACTGAGAACCATTGCTTACTTACCCACTCATTAAAACACCCAGCACCACGCAACAAGAGTACATAAATATGGTCACTGCAGTACTCAACTTCTGAGTGACATTATCTGGGTCCTGCCTCTTGGCCCGCAAAGGTCTTTGGCAGCCCTCTGGATTCCCTGGTCCATTTCACACCTGGGCTATTCTGAATAGCTCCTCTTTCTCAAATCAAAAACTGCAAACCCACTGCTCTTAGTCTCAACCATACCTTCTTCCTTCTCCTTTCAGGAGTTATATTCAGGTCCTAAGTCTGGAGCCCCCTCAAATATTCCTTTCTAAATCAAAGCATCTGAGTCTACATCCTCCATCCCTTCCCTCCCTGCTCCCTCCTCCCTGCAAGGAGAAAGCCCCCTCCCTCCTCCTCTGCCTCCCCCGCCTCACTGAGTCCCTCGTCCTCCCCCCAACCCCAGGGGGCATCCCACTTGGCTCCTTCCTTTCCTAGCACATTCTAGAGCTGGGTATCGACACCTGTCCCTCCCTCAACTTTCCATTATGTCACGAAGCACCAAGAATGGGGGTTTATAGTCAGAAAGCCTGCGTACACACCCAGCCCTACCACTGACCATCTCCACGAGCTTAAGTGAGCAAGTCACTTAACTCCTCCTCTACAGAGCAAGGTCAATAGTGGCTGCCCCAGCTCCTCACAGCTCTGCCGTGAGGCTCCAGCGGAGTAATGCTGGGGAAAGTGCTCTGTGAGCTCATAAAGCACTTTCAGGTTCCACTTTTTCACACGCCCGTCATTACTATCTCCTCATTACCAGTGACCTGTCAGTATCCACTGAGGCAGGATGGCTACACGCCACCTTTAGGTTGCTTACAGTGTCAACACAAATGATACAATGATGTGAGCACTTTAGATATTACTGTGAATTACAAATTTGATAATCATCATATGTCACTGCAAACAAGTATAACCTTTTCTTTAATTGTAAGAGTACGGACCATTTTTTTAAGATTTTGTTTATTTGTCAGAGAGAGAGAGAGCACAAGCAGGGGGAGCGGCAGGCAGAGGGAGAAGCAGACTCCCCGCTGAGCAGGGAGCCCGATATGGGACTCGATCCCAGGACCCTGGGATCATGACCTGAGCCGAAGGCAGATGCTTAACCAACTGAGCCACCCAGGTGTCCGAGTATGGACATTTTTTCCTTAAAGATTATTTATTTTTAGAGAGAGAGAGCATGAGCAGGAGAGGTAGAGGGAGAGAGAATCTCAAACAGACCGCATGCTCATCACAGAGCCTGATGTGGACCTCCATCTCACAACACTGAGATCTCAACCTGAGCTGAAGTCAAGATTTGGACGCTTAACCAACTGCGCCACCCAGGCATCCCTGAGCATGGACTTCTGGAAGACAGTACTGGGCAACAATTAACTGAGCACATACCAAGAGTCAGGCACTGTTCTCAAATACCTTACATCAACTATCACCTAGCAGCATTGTAAGAGAGGTTTTAGTATTAATTCCATTTTATTGATGGGAAAACTGAGGCCGAGTAGTACAGCCGTGATTTGAATGCAGGCATCTAGCTCTAGAGCCCATGCTCTTCTTACCCACTGTCCCACAACTCCTTTGTGACAAAGGACTGAAGTGGAGAGAAAGAAACCAGGCAGGAGGCCACAGCTCTAGAGTATCAGAGGCAAGAATGTGGACCTGAACAAGGACACCTGGAATCTTTTAGCAAACAAACATATTCAAATTGCTAACTGCCAATGTTGCTGAGGGCTTAGGGTAACCAGGCACTTCCATATACCACTAGTTAGAATATAAACTGGTACCTGTTGAGAAGACCATCAGCAGAGTGAATCAAAAACAGGAATGGAACATTCCCGCATTCCCGCTGACTCAGCCAAGCCACTTAGAGCAGGATGTCCTGGGGAACTAATCATGGGTGTGCACAAAAGGAGACTGGGTAGGGAAGCCAGCACATCAGCATGGAAGTGAACAACACACACTTAAAATGATGCTAGAGAAAAAGAGGAATAAGTATCTGCTTTTTTTTTCTCAGATTTTATTTATTTGAGAGAAATAGAGAGAATGACAGAGATAGAAAGAGGGAGCATGGGGCGCCTGGGTGGCTCAGTCGTTAAGCGTCTGCCTTCAGCTCAGGTCATGATCCCAGGGTCTGGGGATCGAGCTCTGCATCGGGCTCCCTGCTCCGCGGGAAGCCTGCTTCTCCCTCTCCCACTCCCCCTGCTTGTGTTCCCTCTCTCACTGTTTCTCTCTGTCAAATAAATAAATAAAATCTTAAAAAAAAAAAAAGAAAGAGGGAGCACAAGCCGGGAGGAAAGAGAGAAGCAGGCTCCCTGTTGAGCAGGGAGCCCAAAGTGGGACTTGATCCCAGGGCGCCGGGATCATGACCTGAGCCGAAGGCAGACGCTTAACCAATTGAGCCACCCAGGCGCCCCGAGGGATCAGCATCTTCTTAAGGAAAAGAGGTATGCAAAAAAAAAAAAAAAAAAAAAAGCCCATTCATATGAGCTTTCTTATCTGACTGGTTCAAGTTTTGAGTGGGTTTACCAGCTATGTGAGCACGGGCAAGTCATTTAATTTCTCTGCACCTCAGTTTTCTTATGTTTAAATGGGGATAACAAAAACCCACTGTACCGGCTTGTGAGAATTTATAAATGAATATATGTCAAGTGCTTGGGATAGAGCCTGGCATAAAGCAAGCCTGTGATAAATGTTACTCAGTTTGCAAATCAGGCAAGTTAGCACACATAACACTCACACACAACACACACAGACACACATCATTACAAATATTTGTAATATAAATATTATAAGTAATGCATCAAAATTTTACCATGGATTATCTCTGGAACTGGAAGGACTAGACTTTTTTTTTTTTCTTTTAAATTCTCTGTATGTTCTAAATTCTCTTTACTTGAATAAAGCCAGCAATCTATTAATATTGAAGTATCTCCATTTTTTTCAAGTGGCCTTAATAATACTCCTTTCAATCTATTCAGTTTCTCTAATATAATCCACTCTATGCATATTGTGTTTATGGAAATAGGGTACTTTTACTGATTTAATCTGAGGAGTAATATATTTTCCGCTTTATTCTTCAGAGCCAAGCAGCTTGCTCATATTTTATCCTGTAAAAGTCTCTTCTGCCCTCTTACATATTTACAGAAGAAAAGCACTACAAAAGGCTTATGAGAGCATAAAAGCTCGGGGGAAAGAATGGATTAAGGTCTCCAAAAGGCAAAGGTAAAGGACACAAACATGACAACTTCAGGACAGCCATACGGGAAAAAAAGTATACCTTACCTCAATCAGGTCAGGCCACAAGATGACTGTGATCAGTGTTTTAGCTCCAGGGACAATCTCCCCTGTGTGGTCCGAAGATGAAGGCAATTCAACCATTCAGCAGGCTGTCCAGCCAGCCATGAGACAATCATTCTGAAAGAAAAAGAATCTTGGTGAGGGAAATGTGGGGGAGCAATACCCTTGCTGGGCCCAGGACCTGCAGGAGAGGGGAATCGATGACTAGAAACAGCTATGGAGTAGAGTTAAGTCATTTTCCGGGGGGGGTGGGGGGGGTGGGAGCGGAAGGGACAGCCCAGAGTGACAGATGGACTAGGAGATGATGCAAACAGGGGTGTCCTTTGCTCTCGGGACAAGCTTAGCTGCTGGCTCTTGGGGTATGTCCCAGTCCCTTCAAAGACAAGGGCTGGTTCCTCCCAGACTTTTCACCTTTCACTTCCACGCTGTTCACGTATTTGGTCAGTGTGTACGGAAGGCAGCTCACGAGTACCATCGATTTTTATATCTTGGTGTCCCTGTCATTTCAGAGTCAGACCACTCCATAAGAAGCACATGGCCTTTCTCAGAAAACTAGCTCCACCGAGGATTTTCTCTGTGCGTGGCAGTTCCCTGGGATTCAAACCTTGGGATGTTTTTCCAGCCATCCCTCACTGTGGGATCAGTCCAGCACCCCTTTCCCTTGGAACGCCCTACTGTTCCGTGTCTCTTTCTCGCTCTGGTCCACCACTACGCTGCCAGGTACCGTGGCACCCCCAGCTGCCCCCAGCAGCAGCCTCGAGCCTGGCCTCGCTCCGCAGACCACCACCCACCCAGGCTCTCTTGCGGAGTAGCTGCTCCCGTCCTCCTCCTACCTGTGTCACCCTCAACAATCCCCTCTCTCCTGGGTCTCAGTTTTCTGGACTGCGAAATGAAGAACAGAATAAAATGGTCTCCATCCTCATTGTGCTTCGAAGTCAGAGGTCCCTGCACTTCAATCCTGGCCCAGGTGCTCCTCACCTTTCCGTGGAGCTCAGTCTGTCACGTGTAAAATGGGAACAAGGGTATCTACCGCTAACGTTACTATAAAGGTAAGAACTACGACACCACGTGCCTGGCGTACAGCAGAGGCTCGAGAAATAGGACTGCTTCCCATCCCACCTTAGAGGATGCCTCCAAATCTAAACTTTGCTGGTCTTCGAATTTCCAAATCTAGCATTCTCTTACATCCGGGTCCATGGCGGTAATAATATTCTCTTCTGTCAAATATAAACTCCTCCGCTGACTCTCAGCTGCTTCCATAATCTAGCTCTACTTTATCTTATCTTCCTCCAACTTCCAACAAATACCGCCTGTCCTCGTCAGGCTAAGTCTTCCTATGTTCCAAAGAACATACACTTAGACCCATCACTCCCCACGCAGGATATGGCTTTTCTTATCCCTTCTGTCAAGGCTCAGCTGAGCCCGTGGCCCTTCCAAGGCCCACGTTCTAGGCAATTTAACCCTCATACAGTGTCCTAACAGCACTGTCCATTGTTTTGTGTTTATTAAGTTCAGTGGTCCAGCTGGAACAGGACAATTCTGATTAAGTTTTCCACTTTAGTGTGGACCACATTTCAGTGTTTACAAACCCAGTATTTTTTGGATCCGCTTTGCAAATGCTTTTTGAAATTTATACGCCTTTGTGCCTTGAGGTAATGAGATTTTTTCTTTTTATTAATGCACCATTTTCACTTGCCTGGAGAGGCTCATGCGGGAGGGAGCTTATTCCATCAGCAAAAAGCAAACCATACATAGACAATCCAGGGGCCTTCTCATGGAATCAGGAGATGAGTTCTAAGCACATCCAATGCCTGTAGATTTGGTGTCAAAGCACATGTGTTCTAATTTGAAGAGCCATCTTGTGATCAAACTCTCTGCCTCAACGGGGATGACCCGCAGTGGAGAAAGAGGACTGGCTGCCAGCCTTTTACCTCAAGAAAGATGATCGCTGTCGTTTCAAGACTAAATGAAGGTTCTAAGGGTGATGACTGAACACAGGTCAAGGGAGACAGAGGAAGAACCACCGAGGAAGGAGACACAGAGGAGTGGATACAGGTGCAGAATACCCATGCAGGTGGAGAGACACACTAACCCAGACAAACATGAGTTTGTCAAAGTAGCTGTGGATAGGGGACTCACAAGAGGTCACTGAACTTAGCAACAAGTAAGGTGGCCGCTGGTGACCCCTGAGGACAATTTGCAATCGAGCTGGTGAAGTACCCAGACTGAAGGGGACTGAGGAGAAACCAGGAGGGCACGTGGAGACAAGCAGAGACAAGCCACCGAGTTTGTGCTGGTCATTTTGTACCCTGAAGCTTGCCTGACTGAGACCAATAAAAGTACCTCCCCTCGCTTTTTCCCTCGCTCCTCACTTCACCAAATGCACAGAGCTCGGTCACCAAAAACAACGGACTGCAGACCCTTCCAACCTCTCCGTCCACCACCACCTGTGCATGCCTGGTTTGGGTTCTCTAAGAAACCTTCCAGAACTATTCAACAGCCATATGCTATCCACTCTCCGCATCTACCTACATTCTATTTCCCTGCTTCAGGAGAATGAAGGAGGAAAAAAAAAAAAGTCCAGATTCAGGTCAGATACCAGATGACTACCTCTGGGTGACATGTATAATATAAGCTAAACTGTCAAAAAGATAACTTCAAATATTTTTTTCTTCCTTCAAAATAGTGCTTTCTTGTAAGTTTAGAACAATCGGATAGGTACCTCCGAAACTAAGAATACACTCTATGTTCATTAACTGAATTAATTATGAAATGAACTGAGTTAATTGCATTTAAATTTTATTTTATTATTTTATTATTTTAAAGATTTTGTGTATTTATTTGACAGAGACACAGCGAGAGAGGGAACACAAGCAGGGGGAGTGGGAGAGGGAGAAGCAGGCTTCCCGCTGAACAGGGAGCCCGATACGGGGCTCGATCCCAGGACCCCAGGATCACGACCTGAGCCGAAGGCAGACGCTTAACGACTGAGCCACCCAGGCGCCCCTGGATTTAAATTTTAAAAAATTAAAAAAAGAAAACAGAAAAATCAGATTTGAATAGAGAAAAAAATGATAAGCATTATTAGCATTTTTAATTGTCTACTTTGGTATGTGCGCATGATACATTTTACAAACATAATACACGAGTGTGTCTCTAGGGACCTAAAGAGAGACTCGGTAACAGAATGATTGCGAGCTGTGTTTTCGGTATCATTTCTTAACAGTAACTCTGGTCTCTCTGCCCACAGTACCCCAGCTTACCAGCTTCTGCGCCGTGCCTTCTAGCGTTTGCCTTAGTAAATTCTCTTCCCCCTCCTCTGTCATGTGTCTTGACCACTGAAGAGCCATTCTGGTCACAAGATAAGTATTTCTGTTTCGGAACCAAGGCCACTCTCTCTCAGCCCCTACAAACTGAACCCCATGGCCATTTACTTTCCAACATTCCAAATACCCTTCAGGGTTCTTCAGCTGGTTATACGTTGGTGATGTCTATAGTAACAGTATACACGTGGGCCCACTCTTTGGCCGGGGGGGTAAGAAGCACGGCTGCATAAATATTTTATGTAGAGCCGGTGCTGAAATTCTAGACGAGGAAGCATTCACAGGTCCTCGGTCATCTGCTGGTTGCCCAAGGTGGCAGATTTTTATTAATGCTGCGAGCAAGCTTGGCCATCTGCTATAGGGTTGTCCTTGCTTTAGTCCTAAATATATACCCCCACACACACACACTCCCCAAATGTTTATTTTATTTTTTTGATGCAGTAGCCATGCTGTGGGCCAGGCAGCAAAGGATGGTGGCTGATCAGCAACACTGTCTGCAGTCACTGTTAGTCTAATGTGTGCAAAGTCCGAGGGCAGAAGTGCACGGTGTGTGTGAGCCAGGTGGGTGAGTTTCCCCATAGGAATATTAACAGAACGAAATCACCGAACGCCAGAGAAGGGAAAAGGAAAAGCTCTCCTGATGCTTTTATGAATTCACTGAGGATGTATGGAAAATGCTTAGGAATTGGAAGGCTACTCTTCAGGAATCAACAGGTTTCCAGACTGGCTTTGGAAACAGCCCAATGACAAATGCCTTCATGCACCTGGTTTGGAGCAGGTACAACCACCCACAAATCTGGAGCCATGATGAAGAGCAGGAGATGCCTCCAAGTGGTGAACTGACCACAGGGGACCCATGCTCATGACTGGTTGTTGGCCAGGCGTGGACAGTTCCACCTCCGGGGCGGGAGGCTTCTCGGGATCTCTGTCTCTCTCAACGTGCCGCGTTCCTGTGGTTAGAGGGTTCTGGCTTCCCTGCATCAGGGAGGCTGCGGCCGGCTTTCTTAAGAAGAACACAGCGTAAGAGGAGAGCAATCACCCTCAGACTAAGAGACTCTTGCACAAGAGCTGAGTGTGAAACCTGGAGCCACAGCGGGTCACACCTGCTCGTTGGCTGCACCCCCAGACACACAGGGGCCCCAAGAGAATGGCAGGATGTGGAGCTTGGACTCCTCCTGTGACAAAGTGTCCCCCCACCCCCCAGCCTCAATTCTGACCCAAGAGCAGCAGGGATCAGTGTGAAGAGATGACCCAAGGGGCCTTCTGACTTCATGACAAATAGCAGAAGCCTGGAACTCTGGCCCAATCTTGGGAGGGCGATACGGAAAAGAGCCGCAAGCTCAACCTTTCTGCTACCACCAGATACGCTGATTCAGAGAAATACAGTATTTTTTCACCCCTGAGTTTGTGTACCAAGATTCATTCCCAATTTGAATTAACAACTGAGTGAGCAAATGAACTCCTGAAGCCAAAAGGATTAGTATCTGGTAACCTATATTAGTATCTGGTAACCTATTTCTGAGAGTATTAGTTCAAACTCGTCGATTTCCATCAGGAGATCAGAATGTTATTCAGAGTAAAGGATGTCTCTAGAGCAGAGATTCAGGAGGCTTTTCCACCATGCAGGCATTCACCGTGAACTTCAGCCTTGCTCGTCACCAGGGCTGTTTAAAGGGTCCGCACTGACAGAGACATCACCTGCTCGCGGCCACGAGGCCTCGTGGGGTGGAGTCACTTTGGAAAATTCACTGTCATCCATGACCCTGATTCCCCAGTCTGGCCCAAGCTTTTTCA